ATGATGATGCTGAAGATGCTGATTGTCAATTACAATTCCGTGGAGGCAAACGATGAATGAAGTAAAAAATTCGGTGGCATCGTGATGTCGTAACTGCCGTCGGCAACTATCGCCATGGGATGGGCGGCATTTGGGGCATCAAGGAGCTCCTTTACGGCGCTTCGCATTCGCTCCACCAGAGCCCATGCTTCTGCAATGTCCCGCAATGTTGCTGTCTGTGTATCACCAAAAATAAGACCTTGTTGTTCTCTTGTCAGACTGACATTACTCTTTCCCTTCAACCAGAGAATTTCTTGCATGTACATGGCACACCGCTCTGCCAAATACTTCTCCAAGCTACGCATGGTCCACTTCCTCTGCGGTGGGGTTACTTTTATCTGTTGAAGGAGTTTTTGGGTTTCAAAGAAGTTTAGTGCCGTCATGCAGACATTGTTCACATCCGTCACACAGAGCGTAAAGTGCTGCTGAATACAACGGTAGAGATTTCGGGGACTCTCCATGGGAACAAATTCATCGATCCAAAGTGACTTATAACATTCTGCACCTGTTGTCAGGGTAAATGTCATGGAAGAGAGCACCACATCCTCGTCGAGCGCCGCTGGGTCCTCACGCACTGTGATCTCCGCGGATGTCCCACGTTTCAGAATGAAGGAGAAGATTAGATTCATCCCACTGAGCAGAGATATGGGAAGCACCTTCGCGTTCATACTCAACAAACTGAGAATCTCGACAAACTGATCAACCGAATTCAACGAAACGAATTTTGCTCCTCGAACCACTGGCCCTGCCGGTGTCCATGCCGCCTGAAACGAAAGTGGAATAAAGTCTTGAAATTCCCCCACTGATTCAGTTGCAAGATGATCCCTGACGCAATCCATAGAGAGAACCTGCGTCACAGAAAGGTAGAGTTCACGCCCAGTAGAACGTGCTGCTGTTTCAGATTCCACAAACCTTAACAATGTCAACCACAGAGGGGAGGTAAGGATGTCAGCAAAGCATTTCGCACCATCCCGCATGTATAAGATGGCTGTGTTGTAGCCCTCCCCAAACAAGCTAAACGCATGACTAAGGAGGTACGAGATGGAAGCACCCTGTGTGGATGGTCCACACGCAAAAGGTTTATTCCGCCATAAACAGATCTCATTGAAAGACAATTTACACAACAGACCTTCAGTCGTGTTCACCTCGACGCCATTCGGCTCAACAAAGTTGATGATCTCCTTTTCACCCGCGTCTTCCAACAACTCCAGAAAAAGAAGGGAACAAAGCCGTTCGTGAAGAAACTCCCCATCTATCAGCGTCGCTTCCGTAAAGAGCGGCTTGATACCGCCTGTTGGTGCCGCAAGCACACCTCCAAAGAGATTGATTCCTATTCTCTTTTGGGTCCACCTGGTGGCTACAAGTTTTAACAGTTTGCTCGCACGCTTGCCTAGTTTTTCCAAGAAAATAGTTACCTGTTTCCCTTGTCGTTCCGGAACTTCCGCACCCCCATTGCCCTCGTTGAAAAACTTTTCCTTGTTGGGCAAAATCCCATGGAATTCACTGATGGGAGTCCGCAATGCAGAGCGAATGTTCATTGCTATTTTCTGGAGGCACTCCAAGGCCCTCGTCGGTGGCAAAGAAGGGGAAGCCCCATCTGTTTTATTCACACCGTCATCTTTGTCATTTTTTTCTTCACCCTCCTGATCCATCAAAGCCCTACAGAACGCCATTGCCGAGCCCAGAACAGAACGCAAACTCACCGTGACATCACCACGTCGCCGAATACTTCTAGCCTGGAGAACGCGATTCACCTCAATCATTAACGAAGTCTCCGCTGAAGAAAGTTGCAACCCATTCACCGTCAATGCTCGCACCAACGAGGCCGCTAGTCGTGGGTTACGAAATACCATTCGAAAAAGAGAAGCAGCTGTAGAAGGTTGCCTATTTTTAACAGCCACATATATTGTTTCCACAGTGGAAACGGCAGAAACCATCGTGGAAACAAGAATATCATCCGTTTCCTTCTTGAATTGCCGAAGAATGGCAAGGAATAATAAAACACCACAGCGATAGTCATCTGTCGTCATCCCTCTGAGGGCCCTGCGCACTAATTTCCTGACATCTTCCAGACATTTGACTTCATAATAAATAGCATGGAGTGGAACTGGGCCATGTAGGGGTGACTTTTCTATGAGTGCTTTGGTAAAACATCTCGGCCTCATAGCACCGTCCCCACCTTTGGGTAGCAATTCCTTCATCTGGTCATGCTTAAGAACCGTGAGAGAAATCTGCACGGAAAAAGTGTCAGCTTCATTGCAGGTCGCTGCAGAGCTTAATTTATGGAACACGGTCAAAAAAAACTCTTCCATACACGGCCACATCTCCTCCGGATGGTTTCCTCTCTTGACGGCGTCAATAACATCTCCAGGATACAGAAGAAGCAGAGCAACGTCACGGTCGGCAGCGTACAAATCTGCCAATTCGTCTATTCTTTCCACTTTTCCAAAGCCAAGGTCTTCCATTGGTGTATGAGAAGAAGAACCGCTAGAGTTAATTACTTGACCATCACGATTGGCGCTATGACAAACCCCAACATTTTCCGTAGAATTGCTTTCATTATTCCTTCGAAGCAACTGTTGAAAAATCGGACTAAAGTTTGACAAAACTTCAGGAGAATGTGGTGAACCGTTCACCGTCCCTATTGCATCGGGCATTAAATATTCGTTCTGATGGAAGTCAGCCATCTCATGGGATGAAATTTTTTGCTCCTCCCTTTTTGCTGCCTCACATTCACCACCCGTCCCACCATCCAGAGAGTCTCCCTTGAGATATCGCAACAACCCCGATGGAGGCCTTGTGCCATCAACACCGCGGCATTCCTCTACAGAACCAAAAAAATAACCGTTCCGCCACGCTGACGGGGATCCACTCCTGCCTAGAGGGGAATATGCGTCGTACGTGTATGAATTGAATTCTTCCTCCTTCTTTTCTTCCTCTTCTGCTTCCCTCTCCCTCTTTTTCTCTCTGAATGCCAAATCAAAACACCCCTCGGTCGCAGGTTTGCTGGGCAGACGTAGATTAAATGAAGATCCCGTCCTGAAAGTATCACCCAACGGTAGCGACATCGTTCCGTCCATGTTCCCACTCTCCGTCACTCCTGCCACACCATTTTCGCCGGTGGGAGAAGCAAATTCAGACAGTGGCGGCAAATGCAGATTTGTTTTGCTAGACGACTCCAAAACCAAGCAATAATTCCCCATGACTTGCTGGAGATGGCTCTTTGCACGCGTTCCTTTTGAACTCTCAACAGGCGGCAGAGCCACCGCCTTGCTAGACGTCTCCATAAGACCTCCCAATCTTCCTTTTCCTTAATGCAGGAGAGCACCACTACCACCACTTACAGCTACACTCGTGCTACCTGCAGTCACAATAAGAAAAAAAAAATACCAAAATAAGAGAAAAAGCCAACAGGAAGACCGAGACCTAAAAAAAAAAAAAAGAAAAAAAAAGAGTAGCTGCAGGAATAAACCAAATGAAGAATAAAGCCCAGTTTAACTTTGACAGGCAGACGCAGCTGATAAGGGTGGAAAAAGAAACAGCGAGAAATGAATCCTAAAAAAGTAGTAAAAATAAATTTAAATAAATAAATAAATAATAACAATAATACCCTGTGATTGTGCGGTGCTTCTCCGCAGCGGGCCACCACTTTCTATTCACATAAATCATATTTCATTGACAAAACAAAAGAATAAACACAAACAAAATGAGACAACAAAATATAAATAAATAATTATATAAATATATAAATATATATCAGAAAAAAAAAAAAAAAAAGAAATTCGTTTGCCCACACACACGCAATTAGACATTTGTAGTGCATCTCTCTCTCTAATTGACCGTTCCGTGCCAATGGCACCACTATTTTAAAAATAAATAAATAAATAAATAAAAATACGGTTAGACCTTCACAATGGTAATATAAATAAATAAATATAAATAAATATATACAGTTGCTATACCCCTCTTCCCTCTTGTACCACATTGTATACATTTGCGTCAGCTGAGGAGTCTGTTACGTCGTGAACACATAGCCCACACCGCAGATAAACATAACTATACACATACACACAAACACATAAATAAACACACGTACAAAAAATACCGAAGAGTTCAGCACCTAAAAAGAAAAATAATAATAATAAAACGACAAACAACAGAAGGAAAGAAAAAAAAAAAAAGATGGGATACGCTAAAGGCACAAAACACACACACACAAAAAAAAAAAAAAAGACTTCTCCCACATGCCACACAATCACTCCTCAAAATCTTCTTCGTCTCCTACACTTTGTCTTCCACTTGCACACTGTAGGATTCACGCCTCAGGTAAAAAAAAAAAAAAAAAAAGCCGAAAACACACAACAGAAGAGGGAAAAAAAAAGGTGTAAATAACAACTAACCATAACAACGATAAAGTAAACAATAATAAATAAAATGCACAGAGAACCCACAGTAATCCATTTACGACTCAGAACCCAAGGGAACAAAACCTCTTTCTCTTACTGGAAGTTCCAAGAGTAACTCAGCATCGTGCAAGTAGGCCTTTAACTGAGTAATCCTGGCGCTGATGTACTCTTGTTGCCGCACATCCTCCGCCGTTTGCTGGAGCTCAAAAAGTTTGGCAATGCCTTTTTTAAGCTCATTCACATGTTTTACAACACTTACGGGACGTGAAAGACGATTATGCACGTGAGCCAGCTCCATTTGCACCGTAAGAAATTCTCCTGCGTTATCCTCATCGTCACAAAGCCCAAGCATAGCGATGGTGTAACAGGGACCACCGAGTGCCAGTTTAAAAAGTCCTGTTGGTTCATTAGGCCTTTTGTGCAACACACCTGTGTAATGCGATACGCTGTCAAAGACTGTTGTTGCGATGAAAGAAGAGACGAGTACATCACGCGCAGGGGATTCCACATACTGCGTGAGGCTGAGTGCCACCACCATAACACCAGGATCCTCGGACCGCAGTGCGGGTTCGGCACGATCCACAGCGAAGGCAAGGAGGTGATCAAAGCCTTCCGCGGAAGTGACTATATGATACGACACTCCCCGAAGCCGACGACTAAAAAGTGATGATACCTCAACCTCAAAACGGTGGAACGCAAGCCCTTCATGAACAGCCAACAGATCTACCGTGACATCATCCTTGACAAGTGCTATAGAGACAAGCAAGTCCCCCTTCATTGTTGTTGATGGCGACTCCAAATTAATATTGTAGACTATGAGGTATGCGATTTTCCGAAGAATGAGCGGTGTCACCGCGGAGCTCCGACTTTCCGCGGCAAGAAGCGCGGTATTATGCCCCATTAAAAATTTAGCTACAAGATCATCGATCAGCTGTGAGGAGGGAACACTGCCGCTGGAATCTCGAACCACCACTTCGTCCACATCGTACCGGCAAACAAACTCCCCGTTGTGAAAAAGAAGGGAGTTGTTTTCCACCGCGATGCAACCGTTCCCTGGCAGTCGTTGCTCAAAGCACACCAGAGAACGCACCCTCCCTTGAGCCTCCGCTCGGGGAACTGTCTCCGATAACGACATGCGATTGTAGCGGTTTTCATCCGTCTGATTTTCATCCGCATCATTCAGGTAGGCCTTGGGATCGTTGTCTTCAAAGTTTTCTAAAAGTTTTTCGGCATCCTGCGCCATTTCCTCCAGGCGGCGCAAGATTTTTTCTGTCGATTCCCGATCGTCAGAATCCCGCAATTTTTCACTTAATGCCGGCGCTAAATCTGTACGAATACCATTAATAAACTTGTTGATGCTGCCACGGTGAGTTGGTCGGTTCGTCATTTCCCCAAGACGCCGCTGTACGGCAAGCATGTCGTGCATACGTGTTTCATCGCCGCTAAAACCGAGCACGGCCAGAGTAAAACATGGCCCTCCCAATGCGTAGTGAAACAGTGGACGGGAAACAAGGGGAGATCGATCGAGTACGGTCAAATAAAGACCGACATTTTCTCCCACCAAATTAAAAACAAGAGATGAGACAATAACATCCTTTTCGACTTCAATTTTTTGCTTCAACACAAAGGAGATAAAAACCATCCCATACTCCCGTTCTTTCACAGAAGCGCGAGTGAGTGCTGCTGTTAACATGGAGTCGAATACAACCGCATTTTCAACAGGAAGACGTGTTACATTGTGTACACATGGACCAAAGATGGGTGAGATGGCAATGACTAGTTTTCGCGGGGAAATGTTCTCTTTAAGTAGATCCACCACTGTCTCACCCCGCACCTGCACAATGGAAACACTGAAAATTCCTTTATATTTGGGTCCGTGAGACATCGTCTTCTCGCGAATCTCATTCAGTACATCATGCACAACACCCTTTAAAACAAAAGATGACAAGGATGAACTGCGACTATCCGCCGCAAGAATAGCCACATTGCACCCCAACATGAATTTGTCGAGTAATTTGTCCAGCATTTTGGAATTCACAACTTCACAGCCATACGGTCGCTCAATCACTTCATCGACCTCATACTCTTCAAAATCATCATCAGTCATCACAATGACCACTGTACCGTCATGAGTAACATTGACTGTCTCCTTGCACCGTGGATCAAGGACAACAAGCGTTCGCACATTGGAGCTTAGTGATGCATCCATTTCTGTACGGTCGTCTCTTCGGTTGCTTTTACCCAGACGTCGTTCATTCCCTATAGAATTATCTTCGACAAATTCGCTCTTTTCCCGTCCTTCTTCTTCCTCCTCCACGTATTCCTCCTGTTCCGAAATCAGCGTCAGCAGGGAATTCTTTCTTGCCGTATCTGCATCCTTTGGCAATTCGACTGAAGAGCAAATTAGCCGTTCACTGCTCTTTTTTTTGATCGGGGGCAACTTGGCGGTTGATTTCTTGTCCACAACGGGCAGTATGCTTTTAAAATGTGCCTCAATATGGTGGAATACCGGCTTTTTTAAAGGAACATCTTCGCGATTGATGTACCGCGTACTCGCCGTGGTCCCAGCTGTGGTGGACGCGGAAAGAGGACGAGAATCTTCCCTGCTAGAAGCTCGCAATATGCCTTGCGGTAAAGCAATTGTTGTGTCCGTGTTCTTTTCCAGCTGCTGCTCCGTGTGGGCGCCTGCATTCGCATTTACTAACAAATGAGTTTGCGTGGAAGAATAAACTCCGGCGGGTGTGGGATCCTGAGAGTCGATGGGACCCTTTTCGATATCCTTCATGACACCTCGACCCAATCCTGAAGAAAAAGAAGAAACACGTTTTGCGGGCACTTCTCGACCGTTTTCGTCGGGCGGTTTCGGAAAATTTGTTTGTCGCCGGCCCATGCAAAGTTTGGCTAATGGAATAACTGGCAAGGTAACTGGAGTATTTGCTTTTTTCTCCTGCTGACTGCCCGTGGTGGAATGACACGTATTGGGGGCCACAGCCGAATCTGCATCTTTTGTGGCGTTATTTGGAGGGGCTTTAACCACGCTGACGGTCTCCGGTGGGTGAGGAACCTCGGACACATGTCCCTCCTGAGTTGTATTCAAAGTAATTTCCCCAGTGCCAGCAGCCCTTGGGTCGGGGGGTGGGGGCAGCAGCATTTTCCGAACATGCATTGAAGGGGGCCGTTCAACTTGTTTACTCACATCCGGTTCTTCTCTCACACTTTTACTGTCATCCTTCTGTGGTTGTTGCTTCTCGGCAGATTGGCTGTTTGCAGAGCTTTTCTCGGCCCCGGCGGCATCATAGAGCGCCTCATCCGTGGCTTTTGCGGCTGTTTCAGGATTCGCCTTACAAATAGGTTCATGAGGCACTTTCGGCTCTTCAGCGGCTTCTCTTGGAAAGAATTTTTGGGGGTCCATCAAGGCACGCTTAGCGACAGCAATCTTCTCCTGTAACACCTCACGTATTTTTTGTGCCGAGGGATCATCACTCTCAGTCGCAGCGAGCTCCCTCTCTGCTTCCTCAAGAAACTTTTTCACACTTCCGACATTACCGTGGCTGTTGACAATGGAGGCGAGTTTGTCTTGTGTATTCATGAGTTGGGTGGCGCTCCTATCCCCCTCAGATAAGGTTAGAACCGCCACTGTAAAACACGAGAAACCCAACGCTGCAGAAATCAAATTACTAGACTCGTGATTCTCCTTTTTCAACAAGTTGTTGAGGTGAGTAACAGACTTGTTTCCACATATAGCCAACATAGATGACAAGATCACGTCATCCTCCCTAATTTGTTTAAGAACGACGGAAACCACAAAGAAGCCGCATCCACGTGTATGATCAACTCGAGCGACTTCCCAACCACGCGCTAGGACTTTAGAAAAATGTCGCAAATCCCGCAATTTTACATAACCAACATTCTCAATAGTAACATCTAGCAGGGCAAATTGCTTAAATGTCGTTCGCACCATCCTTCCCGACTCAGAAAGAAGATCCTGCGTGAGTCCTTGTTGAACCAAGGCGACGGAGAGGAACAATTGACTGTCTTCCCCCAAATCTTGAAATACACCCTGCATGACTTCACGCAGAGGTCTCCAGCTTAATAACTCTACGGATTCGCTTCCAGCCAGGCACATGGACACATTTAACCCTGAAAGAAACATTTGACGAAGTTTTGAGAGAGTTGTGGAGCAAAAAATACTCCCGTCATACGACTCCAAACATTCATCAACCTCAAAAAAAAGTGGCGACTCAATACCTTGATGTATCTCTAGCTTCGTGTCCCCAACCAATTTTATCTTTGCCGGTGTATTGGAATCCTCCTGTGACCTGTGGATTATTACCAACGAATGTATGTGATTCTCAGTCTTGGTATTCTGATTTTCTGGTAATCCTGATGTTTTTAAAGACTCCGGAGTAAGGCTTGCATCCGCAGTAAGTCTTTTGGGGTGGGGTGCTGCTGCAGAGTGTGTGGCACCTTTTGCACTAACTATCCTTCTCTGAGAAGTCCGATGCACGGGGTTAGCACCCTGTGTCGATGTCTGTTCCGGCCCTATACTGGAACTGAAAGAATGTTTGGGCAATTTGGACAGCCGCTCAACCTTCTCCTCATCGGAACGACGCTGCTTTACCTCTTCATGCCTTGTCCTTTCAGCCCGACGTTTCTCCAAGTAGGCCTTCACACGAGCTCTTCGTTCCTCATTTTCCCTTTCCTGCGCCTCTTGTCTTTCAACTTGTCCACTGTGGGGGAAATCAGATACCTTCGTCGTTTTAGGGGCAAATCGATTATCCATAACAACCATTCTTGAGGCCCGCAAAGCAGACTTGTCACTGGCTTGACGACGAGCATCTTTAATCCGCTGTTCTTCATTTCTCAATCCTTCCTCATTTCCCTCCAATTTTCGCGGAGGGGTCTTCGGAAGTGCGACTTGGCCCCCCCGTGCAATCGGACAATTGAACTGTGAAAAGATTGGTTGCAATTTGGTCATGGCAGATCCCGTGTCATTCTGATAATCGACGGCCGAAGGATATTCCATACTTCCCAAAAACTCATTCAAGGGCAACTCTTGACGTAATGTATCCCGTGGCGGTGGGGTTTTTAATGACGATGGTCGAGACTCCTGTGAAACGATACTGGATTTAGGCAAGGATTTTTGCCCTCGTGTCGACGAGATCGCAGTGCGTAAAGGCTGCGGAGAGCTTTCTGGCCAAAAAAAGGGCTCACGAAACGAAACATCATCAAAAGCAGGATACTCCATATCCGCATTCCCTTTTTTTTCAGAAGAGAACTGTGGCCCTTTGTCAATTTGTTGACAACGCTTGAATCCCCCAGTTTCTGTTGCCAGGGGTAGAAATCTCGGCTCGCCACTTCGAGTTGAAATAGGGGTGCTTGGGGGCATACTGTGGGGTACTAGAGACTCAGTCATCAGTGCTTCCAGGTCTGCTGCATTTACTTTCCCAGGCGTATTGGAACTTGGGGATCCGCTCGCAAGCGTGTCGCCATTATCGTCTTCCCCAAATAACTGATTAATGATAAACTCAGCCTCCTGCATATAACTTCGAGCTTCTCTAACCAGTGCCTCCTTCCTCAAAAACTGTGTCGACAATAATGGAGTCCTCACGGAAGACACGCCAATTTCTGCGGAGGGGGTGTTGCTCAAACTCGCTTTTCCCTTGCAAGAATTTCCATGGCCGGACCCAAACTTCCTACGGGGACCTCCCAAAGATGAAACAGGCGCTGCCGAACGTGGGAAATATACTTCCGCTGGTACTGTTGCGTTCTCCAGTACCTCAAAGTCATAATCGACATCTTGCGACTTGTGTGTCGCGCCCCCAAAAGAGCCTGGTAATGCCACTCGAAATGGCGGCTGCGGAACAAACCCAAAATGAACTCCATGAAGAAGCGCATCAAGACCATAAATAAAGTTTTCCTTATTACCTTCAATCACTTGGTAAAGACATGGGTAAGCTGTGTCGTATACACAGGATGGATTGATTTCGTCAGAGATGGTATGAAACACTGTGGAACTACGCGTTCTATTAGTTGGCAAAACCGCAGATTCTAACACTGGATGATCCAGGTTTGTGCATTTATGTTCCGCAGGATGAGTCCCGTTGAAATTTGATACAGAATTATCAGCCTTTCCTGCATCTTCTTTTGCACAGCAAACCGCTTCGCCAGATTCACGTGAAAACTTCTCTGAAGCATTCTCAACTAAGGTGTGGCTCTGATCTTTATCAAGGGCGTCGACGATAAAATTGTGTTGGTCTTTTTTTTGAGATAATGGAGATGAGGGAAACTGCAGTTCCAAGAAGGGAAAACTCTGCTCCGAGAAAACAGTATTTGGTGTGAATTCCATGTTGTATATATTCCTAGAGGAACAAAAAGAGAGACTCCAATCCCGCTTCTCCGTGTTACGTACTGTTCGCGTACTCTTTCCTTATTTATTTTCCTTTTTTGACGTTCCCCGTTTTTTACTAACGTCACAGCAACCCGCCTTCGAAATTCTTCAGTCCCCTTAGATGTAGAAAACATCAGAGCATAAAAAAGTAAAGAAAAAAAAATTAATAAGAAAAAAACACTGAGACTGGTACACATAACAAAAAAAAAAAAAAAAGGAAATAGAGAAATAAAGAAATATGTATTTATATAGAAAAACACTGTAAAGATAAAAATAAAAAAAACCTTCTTAAATACAAAAAAGGCGTTGTATTTCACCACTTTTCAGAAAAAAAATATTGCAACCTCTCTCAAAACGGTATAAACATATATTTATCAATAAAAAAATAATTTCTACGTAGTAAAAAACATAGAAAAAAAAAAATACAGATTTTTAATAATAATAATAATAAATAAATAAATAAATAAATAAATAAATAAATAAAATAATAATCACAATAAGGCAACTTTTCGTAAATTGATTCAGCAGAAACAAGGAATTTTTATCTATACACAAAAAAAGAAAAAAAGAAAGGTAAAAATAAAAAAGTCAATAAAAATAAAGGCACTAATTGAGAAAGAGGAAGATTATATTTAAGGCCTTAAACAGGAAGAAATAGCAGAACTTGGGCTTCTAACGTTAATAAAAAATCAGATACACTTACCACGTTCTATAAATAAATATCCTTTGCTGGGCGAGGTAAGCACAAAATAGCAAATCTTCCCTCAAATAATCAAAAATAAAACCAGGCGATTCACTAAAAAATTCCTTGATCGTTTGCACAGGTAAAATAAAAAATAAAAAAAATATTGCGTTGTCCGTTTTAAAATAAAAATTTACGTTACAATAATAATAATCCCAAACTTTATAAAGCCCCATTAAACGTCAGGGAGCTACGTCTGCGACCAATAGGCCCGCTTCCATTTTGTAGCCCATTTCCTCCCCTGTGCATGACACTAAACTTTCGAATAAGTGACGCGAGACCCTCTCTTTCGTATCCTTCGCTAGGAGCAGGCGCCTCAAAGCTTTCTTCATGCGGTTGCCTAATGCCGCAGGAAGGATCGTATCCGGAAAAAACATCCATGTTATTATGGCAAGGTATAGGATCTTCGCTCTGGTTATCGTCTCGTAAAAACAACAAATCATAAAAACTCTCAGAAGGCTGATATCCAGAGTCCAATGGTACGTTATTATCTTCTTTTTCAACGTTTGAAACCATGGGATCAATTGGCCCACAAAAAGAATCCGACGGCGGTATAATGGAACAGCTTTGTAGCTGCTGTGGGACAGTAGAAGTTCCCACATTTTGTGACTGGAAACGTGTAGCTCCACTGTTTGGATCTGCTCGAGCAAATGAAGGCACAGTTCCAGCACCTGGATGCATTCGCATTTTCATACTCCATTCACCACGAGGATGATTCCAATTGTCTGACACTGTGAAAACATCAGCGTTTTTTTGTGGATGCATTACATTGGAAGAAATATTTCTGTAAAATTGATATTCACCAGAAGCCCGACGAATTTCATTATAATTCTGATTGTATGCTTTTTTTAACGATGGGTGCTTCCCATAACTATAATATTCATACCCATTTCCATTCATATTGAGTTTTGAATGTAAATTCTTTGAAAATAATTTTCAGTAGGTAAGCGTCACCAAATAAACTCTCTCCTGCTTGACGGCTCCAGATCCTGCTGCGGAAAGGACCTATTTTGAAAGCACCCACGACCACTCACACGCAGAAAATCTATTCCCTTGCTTCCTCTTTTCTTATTATCAGCTTTCTTTAAAAAGAAACAAAACAAGAAAAATCCACTTTTCTCATTCAACTCACACTCTAACGCATAAAAAAAAAATGTGTGCGAGTAAATATAATTTAGTTGCAAAAAGGGCAAACAGGACAAACTTATTCTTCACAGAGAGTTGCATGACGAATATAGTTACTATTATTATTTTTAATAATTATCGTCTTTCAGAGAAAACAACACAAGGTCTAAATCTTTCAAACCAAAAATAATTTAAAAAGTTGAAAATAAGAAAGCTTAGAAGACGACGAGCTACACGCAAAGCTTTTGTAATTCAGCAACGCAAATATGTATTCTTAAATAAATACATTTATGTATTTTTCGTTGAACACAAACACACAAAAGAAACAAAAAATTTTTTTTCCTCATTTCTTTCAGCACCTCTACTTTTCCTAATTGAATTCATCACTTACGTGTAAAAAAAAAAAAGGAAATTTAGCTGCATATTAAGTGAAAGGAAAAAAAAGAATTTATAATAATTCTTTACTGAATTCCTTTTCTCCACCATAAGAAATATTAATAATAATAATGCCGATAATATTGCTAATGATAATTAAGATTCATAATAACAATAATCATAATAATAACAATAATAAGTAAATAATATTAATAATAAAGGAATAAAAAAACAATATTCAAAATAAAAAAAATGAACAATAATTAAGATAAAAAGAAATAAATACTATTTAAAACAATAATAAGTAAATAATATCGAAATAAATATAAAACATTTAAAATAAAAGAAAAAACAATATTAAAGATAAATAAACAATAGTCAGAAGAAAATAAAAAAATACAAAATAAATCTTAATAATCAATAAATAAAAGTCAAGAAATAAATAAAAATTCAATAACAATAAAAACAAGAAAATATTAATATTAATAATTGTCATAAAAACTACAAATACAAAAGCAAATTAAATGGTCCCTAATAAAGCAACCAGTAATGCCTTATTCATATTATGTTACTGTCAATTGATTTTCTCCTTGGACCTTATTTTAAAAATTTGTGAAGAGAATGATTGCTTGAGAGCTGGCTGAATTAATCTAATATATGTCCTGATAAAATGAACCCACTCCTTTGCGACACCCTTCCTATCTTGTGAATTTGGGAAGAAGACGAATTTATGGGGATCAGGGAACCGACAGAGGCCAGACAATTATTTTTAAGTTTGCAGACACAGCGAGGTTGGCCTAAGGAAACGGCGTTGGTTCCTATTAAACGGTCCCCGAGTGGGGCGATATTGGCGCCCGACTCTCAGAATTGGTACGCCAACATGGCGCTGTCCGGGCGCGGCTCACCTTCATTGATGCAACCGGGACGTCGGATGCGACGTTAACCGCGGCCGCCTCAACGACAGACTTGCGCATGGATTTCGGGACCCACCGCCAAGCCCTGGGCGGATTCGAGCCTTACAGGACACGTTGCGAATCACCGGGCGCCCCAAACACCAAATTTCGAGACCCAATTGCTCCTGCCCATCGTGCGGGCGCGGCCCGGGAGTTGGGGGTCCATCGAGGGCTCATCATCGCTGAAAGGGAGCGCTTGGGCACGGACCACGCCTATGCCATCGCGGGCGCGCGGAATCGAAACACCGAGCTTCACTCGCAGGCGGAAGAGGCGCATAATAGCCTATCGGCGCGCGAAGCCGGCATCGCGGTCGCCGACGGCCTTGTTGCAGGCAACCCGCGCCCAACTACAGGAACGAGAGGCACGCGCTAGCGCCAGAGAAGCGCCGCGAGCCGCGCGGGAGGCGGAGACGGCGGCCAGGGAAGAAGCCCCCACCTCCCGGAGAGGCCCGGCAGACGGACCCGCCACGCGTCAAAATACGGCCGAAGATGGCGGTATTAAACGGCAGCGTCCGACGCGTCGTTTGGTGGTTGGGGGCGCGCCATCACGCACGGCCCGACGAAGCCCGGCAGACGAGAGACAGTAGGTAATTTCCCAATCGTCCCAGGGCAATTTTGTGAGACCGCATTTCTCTCCCTCCATGCCTTTGCCCTCTTGCGCCCTCCGCTTGGACGCCCATTCTGGCACAGAAGAAGAGGAACGAAGTTTTCGCGCGTTCGACGCCACCTCTCGGGCCGCACGTGTGTGGAATGAGGGCGTTTCCGGAGTCGTTGCCGACCTCCGGGGCGCATACAATCATCGGCATCAGGCGGGCGGCCAGGCTGAACCCCCCTTTGGCGGTTTGGCTTTGTGGACGCGCGCGCGCCGACAGCGGAGCACGATCCCGCCGACCGTTTCATGGATTTTGGCCGGGCCTTACTGCCGGCGTTCCGGACGCGGCTCATGACGGCGTCCGACCCCAACGCCCCCCTCTCCAAACAGCGCGCCCGACTTCACACCGCCGTTCGTGAAGCCGACGCCTTTGCGAGGGCAGCCCGGCCTCTCGCGGAACGGGGAGGGGCACAACGACCGCGCGACGTCAGCGGCGTCGCATTCGTGGGCGCGAGGCGTCCGCACGCAAAGCCCGAGGCGCGGCCAGAAGGAATCAATCGCGACGCGGACGGCCGTCAACAACGGCGGCGGCCCCACCCATGCCGCCACCGCTCGCCGTCCCGCACAGGCGGCGCGCCGAACCTCCACTTGATATTCAAATTGCCCGACGCCATCGCCGAGAAGGGCGAAGGGGCTTGTTCGCCAACGGAGCCCGACTGTGGTGCGACGGTGCTCCGGCACCCCCGCTGCGGGCCGGCGACGCGAGGAGGGCGAGCGAGGCGGCTCGGGGATTGTTTGCGACGTCGGCGTGGGAGCGGAGAAGGTCGCAGGCGGGCGCCCCACAGCCTCCCGCCGCACACGCGAACAGCCGAACAAAGAGGCGAGCCGCGCGGCCTTTTCGATGGCAATCGACGCGGCGCCACCGACCCGACCGCAGGACGCCAGGATGCCGCGGCCCATGTCGCAAATGAATCGGACTCCGCTGGGCGTGGCGGTTCTGGGGTTGCGAAAAATCGCGGCGCGATCGGAGACGAAGCGGACGCGCCCTTTAAAAAGGAAGAGGCGGATCCATTCATCCGCAGCCGGGCCGAAAGGAAGTGACGGGTTGCCTTTCGACTTGCGCGGATGACGGCGAGCCGTTCGACCTTCCAGGAACACAGCGCGACATCCGGGGAGGCGCGCCACAACGCCGGCCCAGGCGTCGCCGCTGGCCGCGTTGATGCGAGGGAAACCGCGGAAGGACAGGAACCCTGGCCGACAGTAGAGGAGCGTTTTTTCCGCGGTTTTCACCATCGCCCCGCCACCATCACAAGACGCGCGACAAGGACGCGTCGGGCGGTCCTCTTTTCCCCAGCCCTCCGCCACGCCAGGCGGAAGCCCGCGGAGGATTCCGGTCGACGACGCGCGATTATCGAATTAATTGGGAATAATTGAGGGCACTTATTCTGCGATAGCAGGTGGATGGATAATGCCCTTTGCGTTTTCAGAGGGAAAGGCCACCGGTTTTCGACGACGACGGATCGCGGGGCCGCGCGACAATAACAGACACGACCCTTCCGAGGCCCATGCTCCTCTTTTACGTATTTCCCATTATTTGCCACCTGTGATGGCTGAGGCCGCTTCCTGCCTGAACTCGAAGGCGTCTTTTTCAACTCTTTTTACCACGGGGGCTCGGCACCCCTTTTGATTCTGCGTGGGGGACGGCGCGCTGGTGGAGCCGGCGCGGCCCCCAATGGGACACAAGGCCGGCCCAGAAATTCGCCAGATTGTTATTGGCAGTTGCCGAGGCGACGACGGTGGTTCAGCGCCTCTGGGGCGCGTCTTCGTTGGTGCGTGTCGACGTTTGGATCGACAATATGCGCATCACAAGGTCGAAAAGCGACGCGACATCGTGGGAGGCCCAAGCGCTTCGTAACCCGGACGGCCGTCACGCCACGACGGGGAAGGACCGCGAATCGGGCGCCACGCAGCACACCTTCCTGGGGGCGCGGTTCGATCACGCTCCGGACGGTGTCCCTGAGTGACGAGTTTGCCCGGTCTGTACGCGCCATGCCGGCGCTCAACTCTTTGACCATCGCGGAAATGGAGGTATGGCGTCACGCTTTTTGTACGTGGCGGCCATTTTGGGCACGCGTTTATGTGACCGCCACTTTTTCATCAAGGCAGTGCGACGACGATTGTCCGCACGTAACCGGGGATTGTGGAGAAGACATCCCCGGCGAACCTTCCGCCGGCAGCGGTTGGCTCGGGCGAGAGATTGCGACACATCATCGAAAATACAATCGTAAGCGAATCATCAAGTCCACCGAAAAGGCATCGGCCGCCATCATCACGGACGCATCGATCCATGGATGGGGAGCCGTTTTTATTCTCCAGACTCCGGCGACGTTAAAATTGCCGGATGAAAATGGAAGAGGGAGCGTTTTCTCATCACGCAGTCCGAAGCGCGCGCGACACGCTTTGCCGTGTCGGTCGTTTCCG